ATGGGGTTAGGGCCCACCCTAATGCAGCATGTACTCATTTTAACTTGATTACGTCTGCAAAGATCCTATTTCCAATTAAAGTGAACATTCACAGGTACTGGGGGTTAAGACTCGAGCATATGTCTTTTTATGGGGACACCACTCAACTCCCAATACTGACCTAGAAAGCCCTTGTTACCTGATCCTCACCACCTAGCTGGCCTCATCTGGCACCATCCTGCCTCCTGCCCATGGTTCCAGCCACTCTGGCTTCACGAGTTATTCTGTCTGCCTGGAAAGCTCTTTCTGTAGCCATGATAGGTGACCTCTTGTCTTTCAGATCCTCGTAGGCCTACCTTCGTCACCTAGCTGTTCTCATTGAGAACAAGGACTTTATCTTCCCCAGGTGCAGCTGAAACTTCAGCACCTGGAAGAGTTCCTAGCACATACTAGGTACTTAAGAAGTATTTGTTGAACAAAGGACTGCCTGACTGAAAAAGTGATTTTTTTTTTCCTTTTTAGATGTAGCTTAAAAATGATGCAACTTGGAAAGGACAGCTCCTGCATGAGCAATATTTAGGAACCATTTCAAGATGTATTGGGAGTATGTTTCTCTGAGGGGATCATCTGTGAGGTGTGAGGCAGGAGAGTGGCTTTGCAAGGATTTGTGAAGATGTGATCTTAAGTGACAAATGAAGAAAATGTAGATGAGTCTCAGGAAAGATGGGCAATTTCCCTCTGCTGCCATGGCTGCATGAACAAGAAACTTGGGGCTTATTTGCCTTTCTGGAATCTCTAATAGTAGTAATAATAATACTAATGGCAAAAATGAAAATGAACATTTATTGAGTTCTCACTTTGCTTGATGCTGAATGTTTGCATTAATCCTTACTATATGGCTGTAAAGAGGTATTATTATCTTCACTTTACAGGTGAGGAAAGGCAGGCTCTGAGAGCCTAAGTAACGAGGCTTAGAACAGGGTTAGTGAGTGGCTGAGCTGGACTTTGAACCCAGGCCCCAAAACCTCATGCTCCATCACAGGTGCCTGCGGCCACCCCGAACTCATTTTAAATTTTGCTTTGTTGGGTTGTCCTCTACTGGTGGGCAGGCAGCTCTCTCCATCTTTGTACTTCCCATCCACCTTCTCCATCCTCAGGTTACCAACCTCTTGCTGCCAGTCTGCCAGACACTTTTTAAAGTGTTTCTGTTACTGTCAAACTCAGATATTTCTAGAAAAATACTCAAACTTTACATCAACCAGCCTCGTCCCCTTCAATGTTCTCCTGGTCACTTTTAGTTTGCAACCAAACCCCCTCCCAATTCTTTCCAGAGATTCTCCAGCAACTGTCTTAAAGAAGGTCGCCCCCAAAAGACAGCTGAGGTAAGAAGTTCTCCAGGCCCTTCATTTGCATTTATAAATGGAAAAGAAAGATGAGCTGGTCCCAGGTCCCCAGCCCCTTTGGTGGAGACTGCAGCTGGCAGGGACTGACACTTCACCCCTCTCCTTAACCCTGCCCTGATACTCTAACAAGGCCAACAGTCCCTGCAGCAGGCACGGGCAGCCTGGCCCTGGGTGAGGAGTCACCTACCTGTTGGATTGAGGTTTCAAATTTCAGGTAAAGGTGCCAGCTATTCTAGCATCTGTACAGGGTTATTGGCTTCAAAGGCCAAGAATTAGCTCCCGTATGTCACAGCAAGGCGTCCTGGGCTGCAAGTCTTCCAGTTTTATGTGCTGAGGAGAGGACTCTCTTCTCTCCTCTTCTTCATTGACCCAGTTCATTCTGCCAGATTCTGTTTTTAATGTTTTGAAATAAACTCTATTTTAGAATAGTTTTAGACTTATAGAAGTGTTGCAAAGATAGAACGGAGAATTCTCATGTACTCCATGCCTAGTTTCCCCTATTGTTAACATCTTATGTTACTGTGGTATGTTTGCCACAACTAGTAGACCAATAATAATACATCATTATTAAATAAAACCAGTATTTTATTTGGATTTCATTAGCTTTTCCCTGTTCTGTCCCAGGATCCCGCATTACATTTAGGTTGTCATGTTTCCTTAAGCTCCTTTGGGCTGTGAAAGTTGCTCAGACTTTCCTTGTTTCTGATGACCTTGGTAGTTTTGAAGAATACTGGTCAGATATTTTGTAGAATGTTCTGCAATGTGGGTTTGTCTGATGTTTTTCTCTTGATTAGATGGGGGCTATGGGTTTTGGGGAAGAAGATCCCAGAGGTAAAGTGTGGTTTTCCTTATATCATAATAAGAGCACATACTATCAATCTGACACATCACCGCTGATGTTGACCTTGATCCTACGGTCGAAGTGGTATTTATCAGGTTTTCCCACTGTAAAGTTATGTTTCCTGCCATGTCCTTACTATACTCTTTGGAAGAAAGTTACTATGCACAGCCCACACTTAAGGAGTGGGCAGTTATGCTTCACCTACTTGAGGGTAAAATAGTGACATAAGTTATTTGGGATTTTTATGCACTGGAGATTCATCTATTCTCCCCCATTTATTTACTTAGCCATTTATATCAGTATAGATTCATGGATATTTATTTTATACTTTGAGTTATCCATTAATACATTATTGATCTGTTGCTTATATGGGTCTAGAGTTGGCCATTGGAAGCTTTTTCTGTTGGTACCTGTGTCCCTGTAACCAATCCCCATCGTGTGTGGTCTTTTTTCATTACTATTCTCTTACTTTCTGGCACTAGCAGATGCTCTAGGCTCATCATGTGTATTCCCTAACCTAGTCCTAGAAGCAGCCATTTCTGTAAGGATCCCTGGTTCCTTTTATTGAAGAATGGTATGAGAAGCTAATGTATGAGCATTATGTTTTATTTTGTCCATTTAAAAAACAAAATAAAACAAACAAGCAAATTTTTTAAAAACCCAAGGCAACAATGAGACAAATGCCCTGCCAGAGAACAGCTTGGATAGTTTGGGGGCAGAGGGGGTGCTCCCCTTTGCACACGCGGGAGGGCTTGCACTGACACACTGGGCCCCACGTCACAGTAGAGGAATGCTTCCAGCCAGCGGGCTCATGTCTGTGCGTCTCTATTTCAGGACCTTTCTAAAATCATGGGTGGCTCTTTTTTCTGTGCTAAGCTATTTATGATTCTTTATATTAAGCAACAAGATAGAAATTTCTGAGTGTCAAGTCAAAAGGGTATTTCTACTTATGATTTATTCTCTTGCAAACAGGATGTTTTTTAAAAATCCATGTACTGCCCATAGTTGAATGAAATTCAAGAGTCCTAGCAGTTGTTTTAGAAGTTGGATGAACACAGAAGGTTTTCCTTGCAACCAACTGACTTAGGCTAACCCCTATAATTGCTTCACTTGGGCAGACATGGGCAGAAGTGACAGCCAATTGTAATTCTATTACTTCATTTGAGGTGGGTTCAAAGAACACATTCCTCTCTAATAGGTATTAAAATAGTGGCAAGCATTAGACATTAAAATCGTTATGATGTTTTGATGAATAGTAAACAGTGTCTGGATATTTATGTTTTAGCCATCATCATCATCTTCCTAGGGAAGGATCACAAGGATCTTTGTGTGATTTACTTAAAGACCATAAGGGGAAAATGACAATTTGCCAACTCCCTTTTTTCCCCCAAGGAACATCGTTATCTCTGTGTTGGGGGTTGGAGGGCTTTAAGCTTGCGAAGGAGGATTTTGCCAAGCTTCTCACAGAGTCTGCTGTCTGAAGTCCTCAGGGACTCTGTCACACTCAGCCTGTCCATGACAAGCCATGCAAGGCAGGATATATCACTCCTAGAAAGGCAGTCCTGGGACCATTGGTGCATGACCTCCAAGAACAGGTAGGGCAGCTGCTGCCCTCATCACACTTGGCAGTTCAGGAAGCCACACCAAAGTCATGGTGACCGAGTCACAGAAGATTTCTGGTCACTAATTCCCACCACTGAGGTTTCTTTTAAGTTGTTTTTGTAATATTTAGCAGTGTATTGCTACATGATGGGCCCTTCCATTTTTCAAATGCTACACTCAGAATGAGAAGAGATCTCTGCTGTTAATTGGAGCTTCTGATTAATACAGGGGCTCCCTCAAGAGCCCCCAATTCAGCACCCATACAGCACTGTGCAGCCAACGTGCTCACTGCTGACTAAGCTCATTTCAAACTCATTTCCACACATGCTGGTGTCCCCTCAGTGGCGCTAGCAGCCAGGCCGCCTTCCCCAGGCCGCCTACCCTCCCAGCTCACTAACAGGCTCACCTCCTCGGGCTCCTGCCCAGCTTCCTGTAGCATGAAGAAACTGGAAGCCATCGGAAGATGGGGTGGAGAGCTAAGAGTAAAAGCTTGTCTCTGTACCAAGCTTGGTACAAAGAGTGACTTGTTGATGAGGGGATCATCAACTAGCCTTCTCCCCCTTATTCTGGAAAAGCACGTTTCAGCTCCTCATTTGTGGTTTCTGTTGGGACCTTCGAGGTGGCTGCCGCTCACTGTGAGCAAACACACGTGTGTCCACATCCAGGCTGGTGCTGGCAGTCTGCGGCAGCTGCTCTCTTTCCCAGTAGGGCCCAGTGATCTTTGTGAGCAGAGAGCTTGGCAGACAGGGAGGAGAGATTCAAGGTCAGTCTCTGGGTGGGTGTAGGGAATGCCCTGTCCACAGGATTTTAGGGAGCATGGGGGTCGGGAGGTGGGGAAGTACAGGCTGGAACCTGACTCTCCCATCCTGCATCCTGCACTCAAAGGGCTCATGGTTTTGACTGTTCACATCTCTGTGTATTCCCAGACCAACTGCCATTCATTTCCTGGGTGGCTCCACTGTAAGGGTGGGGGGACAGAGCTGACCTCTGAATGGACCCCCAAATATGAATCCTGACCATGAACTTGAAACTGAAGTTGAGGCCCCAAAGCTACACCACAGACAGGCGTGGAAGCACGGTAGAGCGGTGACAGTTAACTGCCAAACAGGAAAGGTTCTGGCAAGGTGTAGGGGCATTTCTAGATTCTCGCTGACCAAATGGGCTCTTTCTTGCAGCTCAAGCCTCGGGTCCTCATGACTCCATTATCCCTCTCACCTCTGCGGAGTACCCTGGAGCCCGACCTCAGCTCCATTCCTCAGGATGCAGCCACCGTCCCCAGCCTGGTGGCCCCGCAGGCTGTCACAGGTAGGTCCGCAGGATGAGCTCTGAGGCTGCGAAGGCCTGCAAAGAATGGGGCGGCTGCCGCCTAACAGTTGCTTTGCGAGCTAAAGAGCTGCTGATGAGTGGCTCTAATGAAGGATTTAGTGTGTTAGCCAGACAGTAGACAGGATGACCAGACCTCTGAAAACATGACTTTACGTGTCCCGCAGCTTGGATTATTTAAAACTTGGGCTTCAATGAATCTTGGGTTTCAGTGGTTGCTTTGGGTGGCAGGGGGAGGCGTGGACAAGAGTGGCCAGATGTGTTTCTTTTCAGAGCAGATTCCCTTTGCACTGGACATAAGCCTGCTCACCTTGAGCAGTGCTCCCATTCCGTTTCCTGGATCTCCTAAGGATCCTCATCTCCCTTAGTCCCACCCAGAACCCTCCGGTCCGGCCAGGGTAGTGCGCATCCCAATCTCTTTCTCACGGGGCACCCACCAACCGGCAGTTTCAACATCACGGTAACAACAACCAGTGGTGCCACGCACATGTTCACACACACACGTGCACACAGAGTCCCCCCATCACAACCCACTGCTTCAGTCCCCACCACTGCTCTTAGGTAAAGACCAAACTTGCTAATATGGCCGAAAGGGCCCTGCAGGCTGCCGCGCACTGCTCCTCTCTCAGCCCCTAGCACTGGCCACAGGGTCTTAGCCTATTCTCTCCCTCCTTCTGGAGGGATCTTCCCTTCTGGTCACCTATTCCTCCCTTATATCTCAGCTCAGGCACCCTCTCTCCAGAAGGTCTCCCTGATTTTCCCGCCAGGGTCCCCAGGATGGGCTCTCCTGCCATTCCCCATGTCTCTCACAGCCACGGCCTCACAGGTCCCACAGCAGCTCGTGGGGTCATGAACAGGTCGTGAACAGGTCTGCCTTCCCCACCCGGCCATAAGCTCTGTGGGGGCAGCGACTGCTTCATTTTGTTCACTCTTTCCCTGTCAGGGTGGCGCAGTGCCTGGCATCAAGGTCTCTTGTTCATTAGGTTTTCCTTATCGCCTGGCATGAGAGGCCGAGCAGGCAGCCTGGTAGAGTGAAAAGAGCGCTTGTCATCAGAAGGCCCTTAGTCCATGTCCTTGCCGTGCCGCTGACGGCAGACTGGGAGCAGCCATCTCCCTGCTTTCAGCCCCGGTTTCTTCATTAAATAAACGGTTTCTTCACTAATAAAGCGGGCTTGTCTTGAGAGTACAGTAGGTGCTCAGTCAAAACCCTTTCTTCTTCTTTAACCTTTCCAAAATGCTATTGGTCTCCTCTTCAAGTCCCTCTTCAACATTCCCTTGCATCAGCAGCCTCCAAGGTAAGATGCTCATGGCCTGGGGCTGGGGGAGGAGGGAGAGGGAGAGCAGACACATCTAAGCTGTCATAGATGTATAGAAGCAATATGACACCTGCTATTGGTACTCATTTTTATCTCGCCCTTTACAAATTTCTATTTCTTGGTTATGTTTGAAATGTCTGCAATACTTATTACACAATGCTTTCCAATGTCATTGAAAGGGAAGGAAATAGCTTTTCTTTGTTATTTACAAGTTTTGGATAGTTTTTCTTAAGAGGTAGGCTAGGGCACTCTTTCACTTGTTAAGGAGTTTGGCTTGATGTCAGTAGGACAATAGGAATCCTAAAACAAATAGTCCGAAGACAGGCTGACCAGTTAGGCAGCTGTTGCTGAATTATAGGTGGGATACATGGTTAAGTTTAACTTATAATATAAACTAGTTCTGAACCCCTCACCCAAATAACCAAGCTAATAATACTGATGATAATTAACTCCTAAGGTGATCTTCTCTGTACAAAATCTTTCTACTAAAAAAGGATTTATATTTCTTTTTCTTTTTAATTGCAAAATTCATAAAGATTCCACTGTGATTTACTGAAATCTATTGTATATGAAAACCAGTTTTGTAGACATTCTAACTTTCCTAAAGATTTACATTATATAAATGTTATATTTTCCTGCAAAAAATGTACACAATGCATTAATAGAGTTAAGAATGCATATAACCTGTAAATAAATAAACATAGTCTGGGTCATGTGCTAAACAATTTTTTATCGATGGGGTATATTACCTTTAACAGTGTGGGCACCATTGACTGGTCTCACCTAAATGGGTTGTTGAGCGTTTGTTTTCTCTGAGACTATAAATAGCACTCCCTTTAGAACTCCATCAAATACAGAGTCTCTGGAGTGATCAGCATCATCTTGGTATTTTATTCATAGAAGGTTAACAAAGAAACAACAAACCTCATATGGAGCCTGACAGCTCCTTGGAGGGGTTGGGGAGATGTCTGTGTACTTCCCAGCATGGAAATACGTTCATACACAGCCCACATGGGCCACCAGTATTGTCTTTAATTTGGATTTGAGTACGCCAGAGTGGGCCCCGCTCCCTCTGTTCCCCAGCAGGAGGCCCCCAAGAGCAGGCCCTGGCAGTTGGGGCGTTTGGCTCTTTTACTTCTTAAGTTGGGAACAATCCGTTCCACCTTTGCCTCTCCAGCATTCCAAGGCCAGGGCCAAGGGGGGCACACGGCAGCAGCCCGCTGGCCGGATGTGCGTCCGATGCCGAGGGCTCTGTGGCCTCTGTTTCCGCAGTCTGCCTCTACATCAACAAGCAGGCCAACGCCGGGCCGTTCCTGGAGAGGAGGAAGGTGCAGCAGCTCCCCGAGCACTTCGGGCCCGAGAGGCCGTCGGCGGTGCTGCAGCAGGCCGTCCAAGCGTGCATCGACTGTGCCCACCAGCAGAAGCTGGTGTTCTCCCTGGTCAAGCAGGGCTACGGTGGCGAGATGGTGTCAGGTAAGGCCCCGGGGCAGGTTGCATGAGGAGGGCCGTAGGTGTCTCCCTGAAGAGAAAGGCATCCGCACTCAGGCTTGGGGGCGGTGGGTGTGGCCAGGGTTTGGCCTCCACCCACTGGGCTCCAGGGGCCTTTAGGAGCCTGTGAGCTAAAGGCCTCTCTCAGGACCGGAGGAGAAGATGCTTCCAGTCCTGGACAGGAAGACTGGGTAGCTGAATCCTCACCCTTGAATCTTCTCTTTCTCCCACCCTGCCTTCCAACCCTCAGTAAATGCTACTGCTGTACCTTGAGCATATACCCAGGATCCAGCCACCTTCACTACCCACAGCAACCGCTCTGCTTCTCTAAGAATCTACGTCAGATCATGCCCTCCTCTGCCCTAAGCCCCCCATGGCTCCCATGTCACTCAGAGTAAAAGCCAAGTCATTACAAGGGCCCACAGGTCCTATGCAACCTGGCCCTGGCTATCTCTTCAATCTCCTGGTCACTCTCTTGTCCCCCACTCTGCTCCGGCCATGGTGGCTTCCTTGCTGGTCTCCTGTATCCCTAACCATACTCTTGCTTCAGGCTCTTTGCACCCGCTGTTCTCTCTTTCTGGAATGCTCTTCCCCCAGCCGTCCATGTGACTTGCTTCTGGATGTCCTTTAGGTTTCTACTCAAATGCCACCTTATCAAAGATTTCTTTCCTGACACCTAAGAGATCAGCCCTTGTCACTCTTTATTCTTCCTTATCCTGCTCCATTCCTTTGTCCCAGCACCGACCACCATGCAGGGCGGTGGGGAAGCTTAGCGTCCTGGAGAATGCGGGGGCACTGGGCTGCCCCTCACATGGCCGCCTTGGGGTCGCTAATGGTGAGGTGGTTTTTCATGTTACAGAAGGTGATACGGAGGCTCGGCAAGGCAACATGACAGAACCAAGGTGGCGTAGGGAGCGAGGGGGCTCAAGGAGAAATAGTTAGGTTCCTGGTCCTTAGGGCATTGCCTTCCAAACATTCCAGTGTCACAACACACAGAACATGGCAGCAGGGGTGCTGGCACATGGGTAAAGGCACCAAACTGCCTGTGTCCGGAGGAGCCACCCCCAGGGCTGAGGGGAACAGTACCGCAGAGCCCCACAAACCGCTCCCAGCACAGCTGTTGGGGTGCTCTGCCTTAGCCACTCTCCCGGAGGGGAGAGTTTATGATCTCATGAACCCTCCAAGAGGTGGAATTTCCCCACTTGTGTGATCTCTCAGGCACTTCAGGAATGTTTGCACATTGACCTACGGGACAGGCCTAAGGCCCCAGGGCCCCCCTGCCAGAGGTGCAGTCTCCATATCACCCAGCCTTTGAAGCAGCAAGTGAGCGGCAGTGGCCAAACTAAGAGGGAATTTCCAGAGTGGCTGGACCAGTTAATGAGCATCTCAGGAGCTCTTTGGCTGGTTCTTCCAATCAGAGTCACCTGGAGTGTTAAAATGACAGGCAAGTGCCATGTACAGGCCTCATGAGCTGGGGAAACCACACCAGGCCCTCTCTTCAGTTTCCCCGTCTGTGACATGGGGTGATAACCTTCAGCCCATGGTCATCACAGACTGTCAGGAGGCCTGGTGAGGTGACGAATACAAAAGCTTTTGTCCAACTAGAAAGAGCTACATACAAAAAATGGATGCTTTTGATTTCTAATTAAGACAGGTATTTTCTTTTGAGCTCTAAAAGCAAAACTAGCTATGGTTGCCCCTGCTGTCTGCCAGGCCTTGGGAGATGTAATGTAAAAATGAAGGCTGCCTTCCAGGTGCTGCTGCCAAGTGGTGGAGGCCGCGGTGGGAGCAGGATGTCCTGTCTGGGGTCTGCTTGTGCGCCGCTCAGGTGGAGTTCAAGCGCAAGTCCTAGGGTGAGAGAGGGCTGTGAGGAAAATGCAGGAGGGGACGTGGCCTGGGCTGGAAGAAACTGGTGTTGCTTCTCGATTCTCTAATCTAGCATCGTTGCAGAGAGATTATTTCCCTTTTACAGAGATTCTTCCCCTGAGGGCTTCCTTCACTGCATCCCCTGACCTCTGTGGTGCTGCATTAGAGTTGGAGACATCTGCGTGAACTCAGGTTTATTTGAATGTATCTAGATATCTGTATCTGTCTCTCTCTCTAGACATAGACAGAGGCACTGTCTTACTCTAAAGGCAAACTCCCTAATGGTGTCATTTAGGACTTGTGGCAGACTGGTGGGAAAGCCACGTGGGGCAAGGGACAGCTCAGACCGTGCCATTTGTCCATGTCAAGGAAAGTGCAAGTGAGAGATGGTAGGGTCCCCAAGGAACCCACATAAGAGTCCACAGGGCTCATGGGTAAATAGTTCTATCGGTCTATAAATATATGCAGAGAGAGAAATAGTTCGAAAGGGGTAGTATGCATAGATACACGTCTTAGCTCTGTCCATCAGGAGGGCCCAGAGCCACTGACACCCCAGTAGCAATGAGCACATCTAGTCCCCAATATTGGTTTCTAAGTATCGCTCTTTAATTAAAGGAAGCAGGACTCTTGGTGAGGTGGCTGACTCTAGGGCTAGAGCAGGGAAAATACCAGATGAACCTGGGGCATATTCAAGTGCCAGAAACCAAAGAGATGCTGAAAGGGAGTGGGCATTTCATAGGGACACAGGGACCAACCTGAAAGAGCTCCCAAAGACGAAAGCTGGGACAATTTGAGAAACAAAATAAACAACGCAGTGTTAGATAACCAAGGTACAAAATAAATACATTGAGACTGTACTAAGATTAATAACTGACTGAAGAAATAAATGGGGGAGAAGGGACAGCTCCTCCTTGCAGAAGAATTCCAAATGATACATGGATCTCCCCTCCCCAGGAGGTGGAGCTTAATCCTCGCCCCCACCACTCACCCCCGAGTGTGGGCAGGACTTAGCAGCCTGTTTTCAGGAACAGAATGTGGAGAATACAGTGAAGGAACATGGCATGTGCCCACTGCCTTGGCCGGGGGATGAAGGCTGGCATCCCCGGTGATGTCATGTGGATATCACGTGCCCCTGATCCGACTGATGGAAAGGGCACTTCACCTCCCCCGCAAATCCATAACCCCAGTCTAATCGCGAGAAAAACATCAGACACACCCAAACTGCGGGACATTTTGCAAAATACCTGACCAGTACTCTTCAAATCTATCAGGGTCATGAAAAACAAGGAAAGACTGAGAAGCTGTCACAGACCAAGGAGACGAAGGAGACATGACCACTAAATGCAGTGTGGTATCCTGGACATAGTCCCGGAACAGAAACAGGACATTAGTGGGGAAACAGGTGAAATTTAAATAAAGCCTACTTAAAAACAAAACGAAAATGAACACACAAAGAGCTCTTCCCCAGGGCTGTCTGGCCGGCGGTCTTCCCCAGCGCCCAGGGCTGAGGTGCTGTCTCTGTGGTTTTCCAGTGTCGGCTTCCTTTGATGGCAAGCAGCACCTGCGGAGCCTGCCCGTGGTGAACAGCGTCGGCTACGTCCTCCACTTCCTCGCCAAGCTGTGCCGAAGCCTCCTGTGTGACGGCCTCTTCAGCCACCACCCCTTCCCCAGGGGCTCCGGCGCCTCCGAGAAAGCCCGGGAGAAAGAGGAAGGGAGGATGGAGTCAGGTAGGCCACACACTCGTGCAGGACAGGCTGGGGCAGCCATCGCAGATGCACGTCTGACTCTCTTACCACCTGCTCGAGGTTTTTCACTTCTCTGTGGCCCTGGGGATTGTCTCATCTTCCTGTTTGAGTTCTGGGATATTTCTGGTGATAATCTCAGCACTGTATATTTGTTTCTGGTTTTCTGTGTGTGGAGGTGGGGGAGGGAGCGAAGCCAGCTTGCTTCTATGCTTGCCTTCTTGGAATCGGAACGCTGCCTCGGAACCTAAATTTCACTCAGAGATATAATTCCCGCCCATCTGCAGCTCAGGCTCGGTCAGGCCAGTTGCCTGTCACGGTAAAGCAGGCCATGGTTGGCTTCTCCCCCAGCCCCCACCCTTGTGTCACTGTCCCCTCCCGTAGCCGGCTAATCTTGAAGTCAGACCCTTCATGGTAGATGGAGGAAGGAGGAGAGGCAAGAGGCAGGGGAGTTTTTACTCAATGAATCCTGCTGTGAGTTGGCATCGTGATCTCTGCTTCTGGCAGGTGTTTAAAGCTGATTCCTCATCCTGTGGGCTCTTATGTGGGTTCCTTGGGGACCCTACCATCTCTCACTTGCTCTTTCCTTGACATGGACAAATGGCACAGTCTGAGCTGTCCCTTGCCCCACGTGGCTTTCCCACCAGTCTGCCACAAGTCCTAAATGACACCATTAGGGAGTTTGCCTTTAGAGTAAGACAGTGCCTCTGTAGGATTTCCTTGTCAAAGTTCCTTTAAGGGTAACACATCAAGTTATCATTCTGTTAGAGGATGAATTAGTTTATCATCCACTTTCTCATCATTGTGACAAGAAAGGCACGTGCCTTTATATGAGGGAAGGGGCGGAGGGCTTTTTGATTTGGGGTTCCGTACCCATCCACAGGACACAACAATCCCAAACAAGATTGTAAGATCTTGAGCTCTTTTGAACTAGGACAATGCCTGGTCCTGTTCTGCTCTTAGGTTCTTTAGTCCAAGCTGGAGTGTTTCCGGCTTGGTGCCGCACACTTAAGAGGGTTTGTTAACACTCACGGGAACATTTTCAGAAGATAGTTCATCAGGTGATAAGTACTATAGTTTGGATAATTTGTCATCCCAAACCTCATGTTGAAATTTGATTCCCAGTGTTGGAGGTGGGGCCTAGTGGGAAGTGTTTGGGTCACGGGGCAGATCCCTCATGAATAGATTAAGGCTCTCTGGGGGTAGGGTTGAGTGAGTTCCTGCACTATTAGTCCCCATGAGAGGTGGCTGTTAAAAAGAGCTTGGCACCTTCTCCTCTCTTGCCACGTGATCTCTGCATACACAGGCACCCTTCACCTTCCGCCATGAGTGGAGGTTTCCTGAGGTCCTCACCAGAAGCAGATGCTGGCGCCATGCTTCTTGTGTAGACTGCAGAACTGTGAGCCAAATAAACCTCTTTTCTTTATAAATTACCCAGCCTCAGGTATTCCTTTATAGCCACACAAAAATGGACTAAGACAATAAGAAAATGCAAAGCCATGACAACTAAAGAACTGTGGAAGGAAGTGGAATGTTTGTGGAAGGGAAAAAAAAGGAAGATTTGGGGAAGACACAATTTTCTGTTCCACTGTATGACAGCCAGTCATGTGGATTTGTTCTCTGTGGCCCTGAAGAGCAGAACTGAGACTAAGTAACGAGACGGTAGATTTAATTAAGTCTGAGGTCTTGCCACTCAAACTCCGCTGAGAGGGCATCGCCATCAACTGAGAAAGGCAAAGGCGCAGTGGCCCTCCCACGCTTTTTAGCAACAGACCCCCAGATGTTTTGAAGACATATTAAAGTTTGAGAAGCGTAGATCTAAGGAACGCTCTCTCAGATAGGGAATTTGGCAGTTAACTGGGTGGAGCTCTCAGACTACAGTTCCCTCAGAAATCAGGTGGAGTTGACATTCTAAAAAGCTTTGAAAAGTCAAAGCCACTGGGAGGTAGAAGGACTGCTGGAGAGGTAGGTGGTCGTGATCTCCCCGGTTTGGCTGACAAATATGTGTCCACTTGTTAGGACCATTAGCAGGAACTTTGGCCACCCAGAGGAGTAGGACCAAGGTGTCCTCTCTGGTCCCTTCCAGGCTGAGAATTACGGGCTGGAGGTGGCAGAGGACAACCCTGGACAGCAGGAGAACAGATGCCCCAGAAGCTCTGAAGGACACCAAGACAAAGAGGCTCTGTTAGAAGCAAGACCTCATCCCATGAAGCAGAGGGAAGGCACCGTCCAAATCTCTTCCTCACACCCTTGAAACATACACTCTCCTTCCATTTTTTTCCTGTGTTTAGGGAAAACCTACCTTCAGGCCTACTTCCTAAAACACAAAGCTTTTTATGTACGTGGTAGAGCAGCTTTTAGGAGAATGGCGACAGAAAGATGGATTTGATAACGCTGGTGGTTCTGTCAGAAGTCATGAGATCATGATGGGGAAAATGTTATCTTACTTTTGTGTGTTAAAATGTCTCAAGTATATATATGCAAGTATATATATGCTTTAGTCAGTGCTTCTCACACTGTAATGTGCAAAACCCACCAGGGCATCTTGCTAAAACGCAGATTCTGGTTAGTAGGGCTGGGGTGGGGCCTGAGAGTCTACATTTCAAACAGGCACCTCGGTGATGTCAGTGCTGCTGGCCAGGCGGGGACAACACTGAGTGATAAAGTGTGGGCTGGCAGAATCCTGCTCACATAGGGGAATTTATTTCAGGTTTTCAGCAAAATAAATCTCTCTCGACTAAGGTGGGTCTTCCCTAGTATAGAGGTGTTGCCACTGGAGCTGATCCGGTGTGCAGTGGAGGGGTTCCATGGGCTGGAAAAGAAGGGGCATGCCGGGTAGAGTGGTTGTATAAACCCAGGTGAGAAAGAGGAGGCTCGCGGGACTGGGGAGGAGGGTGAAAGAGAGAAAGGAGTAATGACACCAAGACAGCGTGGCCTGGTAGCCACCCACAGCAGGGTCTCTGGTGTCCTCGAAACCTCCCCCAATCCTGGGAAGATGCCATCTGTTCTCCCCAGAGCCTTGTTACTGCATCCACAATGGCATTTGATTGCGTCTTACATTGCAGGACTCTGGGTCTACACCTCATCTCCTCTGCTAGACAGGCCACGGGACAGGGCCATGCTGTCCCCAACAGAGCCTGAAACATAAGAAGTATACAGTTATGTTATTATGACTTGAATTCTATGCAACACGACAGAACAAATTGTCTGCTCACCAAGAGTACGAGATCTTCTTTGGAAACCACAAATGTGATAGCTGAACTCTTCTGCAAGATCTAATTTAGTAGCTGGTTTCCTGCCTTTTGAAGGTTTAGCATAATGGGAACAAATTGTTTACTTTTTGTTGAGTAGCTTCTTTGATACACAGATGGTAGGGGGTGGGAGATAAAGAGGGACATTTATTCTTGAGGCTTGCTGTTTTCTTCCTTGGCTGGTGGTCTTTGAGCCAGGCACCAGAAACTATCCGAGTAACAGTCACTCACAATGTGTTCCATTATGGTTGAACCTACACATTTAGCATCTAGAAATCATCTGCTTTTTTGTTCAATGACAAACTTATCTACTATAATAGCATTACAGAGAATAACTGTGTGGAGAATATCTACCTTTGCAAAAGATCAATTTATTTCTAAGAGGAAATTGGGCTTATAAAGTGGCATGAGTTCCATTCCATGAACCCAGCTGTTTAGCGAGTTGGCAGACATCTACTGAGCTCCTGCTGTTTGTAATGCAGTAAGGCCCACAGAGACCGGGCCTGTCCGGACTTGTTCCGAGCCACACAGCAAGGCAGCAGTGGGGAGGAAACGGAGTGCAGATCTTCCCATCCCTGGCCCTTTCTGCTGTCTGTAAGTTCCCAGGACCGGCTGGGTGGGGTGTACATTCCTGTTTCCCAGCTCAGAGGGCTACCTGCACAAAATGAGTGTTCATGAGTGGCTCATGGTGTGTCACTTCCAGCAAAGAGGTAAAAGAACAAAACAAATCCCAGCTCCCATTCAGCAAAATCAAGGAGGAAACTGCACTCCAAGCAGATCAAGTCTTCTTTTCTCCTCCCAGCCTTCCTGCCTTTGCCACGAAGGGTGTTTTATCCCTGTCCTTGTACTCTGGCGACATCAGCGCTGGATGATGGCCTCAGGGCAGGCAGTGTCCATCATTCCAGCCACCAGGAGAACATTCTCATATCTACAAAGCCCATACGAAACAGCCTAGCCCACCAGACACCAGGCATAATTTGACCTCATCTCTTAATTAATATATGAAACGATGGAGGGGGAGAAAAAGGAATGAAGGGGGAGTTATTGATTAATGGATATAGGGTTTCAGTTTTACAAGATGAGTGATATGGAGATGAGTGGTGGAGATGGTTGCACAACATTGTGATTGTATTTCATACCACTGAACTGTGCACTTAAAATGGTTAAGATGGTCAGTTTTATATCATGCGTATTTCACCATGATAAAAAAATTGGAGAAAATAAAAGGAACTAGAACCACTCTCCCCCACCCCCCCAAAAAAAGAGAGAAGAAATGAAGGAAGAAGTGCTACTCCAGATCCCCTTGCAGCTGCCTGGCTCCCAGTGCAGGCCACGTGACTGGAGAGCTGGGAGCTCTGTTCCTTCTGTCACAGCCAAGGGCCACGTGAACAAATGAGCCGTCTGGTTCTCAAGCTGAGCATTGGAAAGGGGGTCATCTGGAAGGAGAATAAACTATCAGCGGCAAGCTCAGGTCATAAGAATCTTGCAGAAGGCTTTGATGGAGAGGTTAAAGAAGAGTGCCCAAAAGTTCTGTAGGGAACACAAAAGCCTTCAGATGTTTTCTGACATGGCCAGAAGCCAGCAGAGCCCTCACAGCACAGAACAGGGAGTGTTCTCCAAAGTAGGATTTCTAGCCCTAGTTCTCCCCGTGTGCCAAAATAAGTTCACTTAAGAAAAACTATTTATTGTATTTTCAATGATTTCTTTCATTAATACGATACCGATACGTATTTT